CTTCCACTCTGGATCGCAGAGATCCAGACCTACGTTGGGACTGCACCAGTAGAAGAAGAGTCGCAAGTGGCGTTCACCACTTCTTGTATGGGTGGTGAAGTGAAGCAGTGGGTTCTGCGGAGGCGAATGCCGCGGGGTTTGACGATGTAGGTGAGTGGGCGAAGACTATGACCTTGAAGCAGTTCCTTGCAAAGGTCAAGGACCGCTTCTTGGACAAGACCACGGCCGATAAGRCCTTCGACCAACTCACCTCGATAGGACARAAGTCCTGGTCTTCCGTYGAGTCATTGTCTCGTGAGGTGGACCGCCTGTTGCAKGTTCCTGGTCTTAACCTGCAAGACTCTCAAGTCCTTTATATCTACTCCCGCGCATTGCCCGAACCGATACGAGGGCACTTGGTCGCCGAGGCCAAGTCAGGTAAGTATACCTACCGCCAGTTCCGCGACCTTGCATTGCAGCGGGAACAAATGACTTCGCAAGTCGAAGGTTCCTATGCTGCTACCGTAAAGAATGGAGGAGGAGGCGGTCGAGGAGGCTACGGCAAGCGGGTCATATGGCGTCAAAAGCGCCAAGACCACACCTTCGTTGAATTCGACGACGATACAATGGAGAAATGGTCATTGGAGTCTGAGGGTGGTGGTAAGAGCAACAGTGACTCCGGAAAGGGGGAGATCACCGCTGGGACGGTCAACAAGGGAGGACCGTCATCGAACACTCGACCGAAGGGAAGAGCACGCTCCTTCCCATACCATCCTGGGATTGCGGCCGGCAGACCGTGGCTGAAGATGGGACTAACCCGGGAGGTGTGGCAAGATAGAATGGATAATGCGCAGTGCCTCAAATGTGGCACTGCGGGGCATGTAATTGTCTTTTGTCCGTTGATTAGGAATTCAAAAGGGAGCAGCCAGTAGGAATAACATCTGTTCCTACAGAGTCGGAGAGTGTGATCACATGCAAGGCGCCTACGATCCCTTTCCACAATCCGACTCCCGTGGCAGAGGATGGAAACCCTTCCGCCCGTCGTTCACATATCCCCACTCCTGTCTTATGTCTGTCTCTGGACGACTCCCTTGACGAGTTGGGTAGCGAGCTAGTTGCGTTACGCAGTTCGTGGGCGAAGAAAGCCAAGTCTAAGGGGGAACTTATGATTGCCGATTTGGTTGTCAATCGCACACACGTTGGTGCGATGCTGGACCCTGGGTCCACACGATCTTACATGTCTGAACGTGCAATCCGCAAGTTGCACCTCGGCATGAAGATCCAAACGTTAGCTAGACCAATCACGTCTATGTTGGCTGACAAAAGCACGATGACGGTAACGCAGTACATCGATCGTATTCGATGTCAGTTCAGTACTAAGGATGGGAAAAAGATTTGGCATGAGCTTCCCTTCCTAATCGAGAAGAACATGCCATTTGATATCATATTGGGAATGGACTGGCATGAGGAATCTGATCCCAAGATTGATTTCAAACTGAAAGAAGTAAAGTTCAAAGATGAATCATCTACATTGCAACCGATTAAGTTGTATCATCAGTCAGGATCTGACTCTGTCTTGTCTTTTTGTTGCATGAGCTACCCTGCATTCCGATCGATGGTTGCAAAGAAGAAGTTAGAGGATGAGGTAGTAATGTTGTTAGTTAAGAAAGTAGGAGAGTCTTCAACTACCCATCCTCCTGGCGTAGATGCACTCCTAACGGAGTTTGCCGATATTATGTGTGAGCCTACCAGGGTCACTTCGCGTGCTATCAAGCACACGATTGAGATCGTGCCCGGTAGCAAGGTTCCCAAGGGCCCTATCTATCGCATGTCTCCAAGGGAACTTGAGGAACTAAAGAAGCAATTGTCAGAGTTGACGGAGAAAGGATGGATTCGCCCTAGTTCCTCTCCTTATGGCGCAACTGTCTTGTTTGTGCCCAAAAAGGAAGGTGAGCTGCGCCTTTGCATCGATTACCGAGGGTTAAATCCCGTCACCGTAAAAAACGCCGAACCTTTGCCAAGGATCGACGATCTCCTGGATCAGTTGCAGGGTTGTCAGGTCTTTAGTAAGATCGACCTTAAGTCTGGGTACCACCAGATCGAGGTGGATCCGACCGATCAGCATAAGACCGTGTTTCGTACGAGATATGGTCATTACGAGTTCATGGTGATGCCATTTGGTCTAACGAACGCATCTGCGACCTTCCAAAGATCCATGAACGAGTTGTTCAGGCAATGGCTCGACGACTTCGTCATCGTCTATCTGGATGATATCCTAGTATATAGTAAAACACTAGACGATCACCAGAAACATCTACGTCCAGTACTCGGGAAGTTACGCGAGGGTAACTTCAAACTCAACCCAAAGAAATCCGAATTCGCTAAGTCTGAGGTCCTATACTTGGGACATATAGTGAACGAGGAGGGATTGAGGCCTGAGGAAAAGAAGATCTCGGCAATCAGAGATTGGCCGCAGCCAAAGACTTTGACAAACCTTCGATCTTTAGCGAGTTACTATAGGAAGTTCGTTAGGAACTTTTCTGTTATCGCTGCACCAATGAAAAGGTTGCTTAAGAAAGGTACTGTCTGGCTATGGGATAAGGATCGTGATTTGTCTTTCCGAAAGCTGAAATATGCGCTAACTCACTATCCTGTCCTCAAGATTGCCGACCCGTCTCTTCCTTTCATTGTTACGACTGGCGCAAGTCAGTATGGTGTTGGCGCTGTCTTACAGCAAGACTACGGCAAGGGCTACCGCCCTATTGAGTTTATGTCTAAACGACTGCCGTGCGACAAAGTCGCCAACTCCACCTTCGAAAGGGAGTTATATGCATTAGTCTGTGCCCTAGAAACGTGGAAACACTATCTCCTTGGCAGACACTTCACTGTGTACTCGGACCATTCGACTCTAAAGTGGATCAAGACACAACCTCGATTGTCTGACAAGTTGGTGCGTTGGTCTGCTTTTATTGATACCTTTGATTTCGAACTCAAAAGAATTAAAGGTAAGTCTAATGTTGTAGCAGACGCACTATCTAGGAGGAGTGACTTCTTTGGGGCTATCGTCTCTTACCTGGATGTTGGGAATGATGTGAAAGCTCAGATTTGCGCTGGATATGCCACTGACCCTGTCTGGAAACCAATCATGGATATCCTAGCCAAGGATCCATCCCAACTTCCTTACTACCGATTGTCTGATGACTTACTCTTCTTGTTGGACCAAACTGAACAGAGATTATGCATTCCTCACAAGGAAGAACTTAAAACTCTACTGATTGGGGAATGTCATGACACAGAGGGACACTTTGGTTTCAAGAAGACGTATGCTGAAGTACGTGAGTACTATGAATGGAAGGGTTTGAAAGAGGATGTGCTAACATATGTTCGTACATGTCAAGTATGTCAAAGAAACAAACTGTCTACTGAGAAACCTTTGGGGTTACTCCGACCACTACCTATACCGAGTGAGCCAGGTGAGTCTGTATCCATTGACTTTATGAAACTCACAAAGTCCCAAAATGGCAATAGTCAAGTTATGGTTGTGGTTGATCGTTTCTCTAAATATGCTATGTTCATACCCTTGCCTGCGGAAGCCAAGACTGAGCTTGTGATTGCTAAATTTTAGATACGATGGGTAACTGAATATGGGTTCCCTATGTCTATCGTCTCTGAAGGCGATGTCAGATTCACAAGCATGCCTTGGCAGAAATTGATGGAAGCCTACGGTACACGACTCACCATGTCGTCAGGTAGACACCCTGAAACGAATGACCAGTCTGAGCAAATGAACCGTCTGCGGAGGGTCCAGGCGGGTTTGCGGGTGGTAGTGGCAATGCTGGAGAGGTTGGGAGGCCATCTGCACAGGTGGTTGTCAGTTTCAGCGACAACATTTTTTATGTTTCGTTAGGGCATCCTCCGACACCGAGAGGGGACCGTGTCGGTGTCGATGTGGACGCAGCGGCCACGCCCGTCAGTCAGATACTTCGTGACATACCTTCATGCAGCACGGGTGACATTAGTAGTAGCATGTTGCAGGAGGCAGCAGAGGGGGCACCGGGTCGGTCGGGGCAGCACAAGCGTGCAGCTGGGGATGATGGGGAGTATCGACCTGTGCACGAGTGGGCGACAGAGTCAGAGCAGGACAGGATCGACCGCGAGGAGAGGAGGAGGGCGCAGGGGTTGGCTAGCCGCTGTGAGATGACGCCGAGTGTTGCATCAAGGGCACGTGTAGCGCGGATGCTCGAGACGGGCGTTGAGGCAGGTGATGCAAAGGGCGAGAGCGGCGCTGCGGGCATAGGGAATGCGAACGAGAGACCTGCGTCGCCAGTTCAGGGTGTTTGCGTTTTGCCTCTCGGTGGGGCCATGTCGGCGGGGGAGTTGGAGCGGCAGGCACGGGAGGACCCGTTGCAGGCAGATCGCCGAGGACGGACGACCGAGGCGTCGAGGAGACTGATGGCAGAGGCCCCGGCTTACGTGCCTTGCAGCCCGTCAGTGCCATCGTCCAGCACAGGTGTCAGCACACCCGCATATGTGGAGGGCACAGTCGTGGCAGAGGCGGTATGGGGCCCCTCGCCAACACCTGCCGGGGAGTCTCCTTCTCCTCAGTCACGGAAGAAGAAGATTAGAGCAGGGAAAAATCTTAGTACCGTGAGGAGAGGTACGCCGACGATGCGGGCGAGTCAGCCTGGGTTGGGCGGTTTACATCCGCGGACACTGGCGATTTTGAGCGGGGACGTTGTCGCACAACGCAGCAGGATGGCAGGAGAGGGTCTCCGACCGAGCGACGGATCAGCCCATGAGCGCACCTGCTGAGGCGACGTTGCCACACACTGCAGGGCATACAGCGGGCACCGGCGACCACGCCGAGCACAGTGCGCCCCCCGGGAGGAGTATGGCTGCACGTATACTGCGGGAGGATGTGAGGGCATCGACAGCGCGGCGACTGTCACAGGCGCCAGTCGTTTGGGAGTCTGGCACAAAGGATTTGGAGATGCCTTATGGCCAGCGGAGGAGGGTTTCCGTGTACGATCTTCTTCGACCACAGGGAGGGGTTGAGGCGGCGCCACAGGGGGAGATTCATGCTCCAGATACTATGCACGCGCCGGCAGGCGGCACAGGTCATGGGGATGGTGTGACAGGTGTGGTGCCGCAGAGGAGGAGGAAGGACATTGTGGACGACGATGATGCATAGTTCCACCATTAGTCTTCTTTCATCCTCTGATTCGTAGTAGTGTACAGTATATTTAGTGCTTGAGACGAGGCCTTGTGTTAGTAGGAGTAGTCTGTAGTGCTTGACTCGAGGCCTTGTGTTCGTAGGAGTGGTCTGTGCAGGTCGTTATGACTGCATTTGTATTTGTATAGGTAGTTAGACTATTGTATACTATTTTCATGCACGGGTGCAGTTTGTTTTTGTTTCTTGTTTTATTTTATCATCGATGTTGTAGAGGATTGCACTTTTTTGAGTATTTCTTCAGACACGGGCTCAGGAGGTGCAGTGCTCACAGTTTCATTTTTTGTTTCTCCTGTTATTTTTGTATCGATGTTTCTGACGATTCGACAGTTCTTTCGCACACCATTTGACTGAGTCCAGCGTGCATGTGTCTTTTATTGTTGTGTGTGTACGGCGCAGCTGTTTCGCCGTGTTCTTTCGTTTGCCTGTAATGTTACACTTTCAAAACTTGTGCAGTAATTGTTTCTTGCAGACTTGCAGATGATGGAGAATGACTCAATGGTTTTGAAAAATTGTGTTTATACTTTCAGTCTTGTACTCGTTTCGTCGTATGTGTAGTTCACCCCTATTGCATTTGTCAGCCACCCCGACAAAACCCTCCTTAACCCCCAAACAGTGGCAAACGCGACCTTGGCATGAGCTTCCCGAACCCCCACAAAACCTGTCC